TTTTCTACAATTCTGAATTCTATTTGAGCATAATTATGTTCACTCATGTACACTTTAACATGGATTAGCAATGCCATACCTTACTCACTGTGATTATATTTTTAAGTGACAAACTATTACATTATAAGGTTAAATTGATTTTAATGCATTTTTTTGCCGCAGGCACACTCCAAATACAGTAGTTTGGAAAACGCCCTGCTGGTGTGATGTTCAAAGTGTCTGCTCATCAGATGATTGGCACTGGGGTAATTAACTGATGCCATCATACATTTACAGGTACAGTACATCTTTATGATTCACAAATGTGTTTTAAATCAGTGAACTGCGTGAAAGATAATGGAATAATTATAGATATAGAACAAAAAAAGTATATAAAGCTAATAATGACATGTTGAAATGTATGCAGTTCATTGTTTTAATGAATGTGTGTTTTAAGACTAGAATGTAAGATTGAATCGTACACTTCTCTGGCTCCTAAAGGGCTAACCGTCAGTGTGAAAATAAATAAGAATTGCATAGTTTAACTACGTCTTATGTGCTCCATTAATTTTAATCCTAAATCAAAACAAGATTTTACAGATTTTCAGACTCATTTGACGGCTCTGAGTAAGAAGCTGAATGTTTTTGTTTGGTAAGAACCACATCAAATAAACTAACATTTATCCATTTGCTTATTTTTGCAGGAAAGAATGGAGCAGGATTAGACGTTACGCATAGACATTGAGAGTAAGAAAACAAAATACATGAGATGCAGCGATACAAAATTGCAAGAAGAGGCATAGAGATAAGGGTATGTGAAGAATTCTGCGGAGAGGCATAATATAGCATTATTCACTGAATTGAGAATTCAACATGATTTCAAGGTGAAATTCTAATTTAATGTCATAACAGTTAAAAACGGTAAAAAGTCAGTTAAGCTTTTAGTTCATCTACTTTAGAATTAAATTTAATATGTGATTTGAATTCACTTTGAATTCTCACTTTAGTGTATAACCCTGATAGTCTATATGCGTTAAAATTTCACAGATACACATTTATTTTGCCATTGGGTATGAGATATTGTAGGGTATGCAAGCAAAATTGTAGCAGCTGTAAAAATGGTAATTACAGCAGAGCATCTAGAGCAGGGGTAGGCAACCTCCGGCACTCCAGATGTGAACTACATCTCCCATCATGCTCTCAGCTGCCACAATGCTGGCAAAGCATCAGGAAGATGGAGCCCACAACATCTGGAGTGCAGAAGGTTGCCCACCTCTGATCTAGAGTATGTTGGCAAACGTTTTTCTAAATATTTATCCTTCATTTCTGGCATCAATAGAATCAAGGTCCAAGGTTGGGTGGCATACGTTTAGTGTTGTTGATGCCATTCTTTACATGATACGGTGAACAATGAAGAGTCATCTAATGACAGGGTCATGTTTGTTACTCTTGCTTAATTCTGCATGAACTCCAGTTGGTTAGCTTTTTTGTAAATCTGCCTATGAGAAACTTCCTCACCCCTGTTTGTTTTAAGATAGATTGTGATTCTTATTGCATGTCTAGCTGGTCTCGTTGTATATCCTGTTCTACGTTATTCTGTCTGTTGATTGTACCTGATAATTACATTGACTTGATCATGTTTTTATATCCTGAGCTCATATTGATTCTGTTTATAATAGTTGACACGCTTGATGTTAATTGCTTCCTCCTTTGTCGTCTCTTGGCTAAACCTATCAATATATTAACAAACTGTTGTGATTCACCATATGCTATGGAAAACATTTCCTGTATAGTCCTTCCTATAGTGCAGCCGTTTAGTAGATAGCTCCCTAATTCCCTTGATATCAGTGAAAGTTCTACCAAAAGTCTGAAAGACCAAAATTGGTCTTTCAGCCAACTTTACTAATACTAAGTAAATATTACTTAGTATAAGTAAATAAGGGAGACTGCCCCTACTCGCTATGCCACGAGTAGGGGCATGTCTACTCAAATGTGAGCAGTCTGTGGCTGCTCACTGTTGTAAACTCCCCTTTCCAATAAAGTGCCCCATGGTGGAGCATCTATTAACGTGCCCCACGTTAATAGATGCCCATGAGCGGCGGGTGGGGGCCCTAAATGAAAATAGAGGGGACCTATTGTTCCCTCAAGGCCCCAAACATGAGTGTCAGGTGGGGGCCCTTAATGACAATAGGGTGGGAAAACCACAGGCTGCTCCCTACTTGTAGCTTAGCAAGTAGGGGCATTCGGGAGATTTAAATCTTCCTTATGCTAATATGGGGGTCTTGCTGACACCCATAGAGTGAGGGAGGACATGACGGGGTTAGGAAGTGGAGGGGAGCACTTGCTGTTCTACAGTTTCTTTTAACTGCATTCCATCGATTTTTTTGATTTATCATATTTTTACATCAATCGCTGTATTAAAAGTATAATTTCAATCTCCATCTAAACTTCCAGATTCCTTAAGACAAAGCATCAGGTCCCTCTGCTTCGTTGGAGTTATCTCTCATTTATTACCCTCTTGTAACATATTCATCCTCACCTTGCGACATCGATAGCGATTGCCTTGCCAACAAGTGCGGTAGTGTCGTTCAGCGGCCATGCGTCAATATGTCTGACCCCTGTAGCATGTTGATGGATGCCGGCCACTGCGGATCTACACCAATTTGCAGCACCACGTCAGCCCACGGCATGGACAATATCGACGTTGTCCATGAACGTTCTTGGGTCAAAGGCCGGTTACGGCCAATCAGTTCCACAATAGGGGTATTTAAAGTCATCTATTTCTTCAGCTCATTGCCCTGTCGTGGTTTCCCTTTGTTGTTGTCCGAGAGTACGTTCCTGATTAGTCCTAGGTGTGATATAATTCTACGTGCTGGATCAGTTAGTAATCCTGGTATTACGACATGGCCATAGATCCTGTAGAATTGTGTCAGCACATAGCAGCTTGCGAAAGAAAGCTAGAGGAGAATGATCACCGTATGGATCAATTTGCCCAGGCTTTCAGTACGCTTCTTACTCGAACACCGCATTTACAGCCTGAGGTTTCTCCGACTATGTCACCTCTGCCTAAAGTACCTCCACCTATAGTACATAAGGCACCTACTATCCCCCTACCTCCTCCCCTGCATTTTGATGGTAATATCCAACTAGTAATCTTGACATTTCTATCTTGTATGTTTGACTTCCACTTTCCCTCCCCAGGATAGTTTATTATGTCCACTATCATTGGCATTTTCACTTCCTCTTTCCATGTCGCCACTCTTACTCCGTTATCCTTGTCAATGAATACCCTTCGCTATCCTGATTAATACCTCATGTCTTTCCAATGATGGTTTGCAGTCTCTTCTACACTCAACCTACTCACATTTGTGCTTTCCATCTCCTTTCTCCCCTATCCATGATTGTTCCATGTGTCTTGTGAAAATTTACCGCTCTATACTCTCAAGAATATTTACAGTATTCCATATTAAACTTGCACTTTAGCTAATGGTACTGTAATCCATAGGAAACCCATATTTTTTTTTTTAGATCTGTCCCATTTTAGAAGGTGGTACCCATAATATAGTGCGATATTTACAATTTACAGACATGCACAAATAAAAAGTGTTTGGCCCAAGGAACGTTCCGGTGGTCAAATCTAAATCATGTTAAAAATTCAATCTGTAATAGCCTTCCGAAAATCAACAAGAATGTTACACTCTTCCTTGCTCATAAACAATGTGCACAGTAAATGTTAATCTGTAAAATGTTAGACTGTTGAGCATCCTTGGGAATTGAGAGCATATTATTTGACTCTAGAGTCTCTTAATGAATACCAAGAGTGTTAACTAAAGCTATTATCACACTCCGGCCTCATTGAACATCTAATAAAACAGTAGGGGTGGCAGAAATATTTTTTAGAATAGAATAATCCAGTCGTGTCCATTTTACAGCATTTGTGCTATGTTTCACATTACCAATTTGTGGGTATTCATCAGTGTGGATAGTCAGGAATTCAAAGCATTGCAGGATCAAAACTAGAGGAACATTATGATAAGTAGTGTGGGTAAATTTAGTGGTCCTTTAAATCAGGTCTGACTTGCATGATATTTAATTGTTTTGTTGATAAAGTGTAGTCCATATCCTCGCTTATCTTAGACAAGTAACACACAACACATTTTAGAGGTTCTTCAGTATGAGAATCACATCTGCGATAGATAATGCTTTGAAAATAAATATTCATGCTAAGGTTTTAACATTAAAAAAGAGATCAAGCATTTTCCTGGCAGATCATGCAGGAAGGTATCAATTGAGTTGTCATTCAGTTTTAATCGGAAAATCCTATTACTTTACAAAGTAGGAGTGAAAATGTACAACAGTATTCCTCATAAATAAAAAATTCCAAAGACGAATTATGGGTGTAACCCAATATCTCATGCTCTCTACTAAATATGGTTTTCTTATTCTATTGAAACAAGAACGTAACATCAGAACCTGAATTTGTTGACTAGAAGTAAAATAGCTCCAAGAGAATATAATACTTCTCTGGGATACTTCTCTGGGATACTTCTCTGTTATACTTCTCTGGGATACTTCTCTGGGATACTGCTGTGTGGTCCTGAAATCTTAGGTGGTGAAGACATCCATATATGGCATGTTCTATATCTTATAATAACCTGGATAAATCCATGCCGATACTACAACTTGTGATAGGCTTACTTTAGCATAAATATAAATGGTCCGGCACTGAGGGAGGAAACTCTGCCGTAGCAGTTAGAGTCCGGCTTGCTGAACATAACAAGAATGTAGTAAGTAATTGAAATATTTAATGACTGTCAGTGACATGTGATTTGATTAAAGGAGCACTATAGTCACCTAAATTACTTTAGTTAAATAAAGCGGTTTTAGTGTATAGATCATTCCCCTGCAATTTCACTGCTCAATTCACTGTCATTTAGGAGTTAAATCACTTTGTTTCTGTTTATGCAGCCCTAGCCACACCTCCCCTGGCTATGATTGACAGAGCCTGCATGAAAAAAAAACTGGTTTCACTTTCAAACAGATGTAATTTACCTTAAATAATTGTATCTCAATCTCTAAATTGAACTTTAATCACATACAGGAGGCTCTTGCAGGGTCTAGCAAGCTATTAATATAGCAGGGGCTAAGAAAATCTTAATTAAACAGAACTTGCAATAAAGAAAGCCTAAATAGGGCTCTCTTTACAGGAAGTGTTTATGGAAGGCTGTGCAAGTCACATGCAGGGAGGTGTGACTAGGGTTCATAAACAAAGGGATTCAACTCCTAAATGGCAGAGGATTGAGCAGTGAGGCTGCAGGGGCATGTTCTATACACCAAAACTGCTTCATTAAGCTAAAGTTGTTCAGGTGACTATAGTGTCCCTTTAAATGAGACATAAGATTGGGCACATAATAAAGGTCCAAGTAAGATTTATTAGACTTAAGATTTAAGGCAACGTCTCAAAAAGAATCCTTTTCAAATTAACATGCACACAAACAAAGCAAAAAAGCATATCTAATATATAAATGTGTAGAGGTATTTACACTCAGAGTGACATGTGCAAAAAGAAAACAAACCATATGCAAATCCAAAAACATGTGCAATATAATTAGGTTGCAAACTAATGAATATCATATTGTTAAAATAATCATCAAAATAAATATACAGTGAAGTACAGATTAAAGAAAAAATAAAAATACATCCACATAAGTATAATGTTGTTTGCAACACTTTATCTTCCTGGACAATATAATAGAATGATAAAAAGGGCACATTTTTGTATTGGTCGTGGTCCATGGCGCCATTGCGTGACTGTAATGACAATCATCAGACACAAGCCGTAGATATATAGTGTAACCAAATATAGTAGAGGAAAAACTTTCATAAAATATAGAAAGAACTAGCAAACAAATATTGTAGAGAAAGCATGTACATTTCTAAAATATAGAAGGAACTAGCATACAGGGGCCTGCTCTACAGTTAGCTTTCAAGTGTCAATGTGCTGATCTAATGATCGCAATGGAATCAATCAGTCGATCGCAATAGCAATCATGAAAAAACATACCTGGGGTAATGGTAACCATGACAACACATCATAACTATATTAAAGAGACCCAAAACTGGCTTATTAAGAAGTGAGGAAGGCTTAACTATAGTTAACATAGTCAAATAAAGTGCCAGATATATTTTTATAAAAAGGGTTAAAAATATCCCTAGAAAATGCTATAGTAAATGACAGATCACAGATTCGTATGAAATTGATATATAAGAGTGAATATAATGCATTGAATAAATACTATATAGTGATACGTATATTTTTGTAGTCAAGATAAGCTTATAAGAAGCTATAAATATGTAAAGTACATAAATATAATAAAGTGCATAGACAAAAGTGAGAGAAGTATTAGACTGTGCTACATGTACGTAACAACCATGGGGTGGGAGATGTTAACACTTTTCACTTTTTTTACTTGAATTCTCTATTATCACCCCTAGTTGACCCTAGCCCTACATTTAATTTTGTTGGATTTGTGAGTGAAGCCTGCTCTTGGCTGGAGGTAGTTTGGGGGGAAAGGAGGTATCAATGTATGTCATCGCATGCTTTTATATGTGTGTGATTTGATTGGCAAAATTTGACAAAACTTTGCAGCACTTGACTGGTCACTTCCCTTTGAATTGCTGGCTTTGACCACACTGATCTATATCAGTGTAATGTGAGTTTTCTAGACATCAATCAGAACTTAACTTATGTTTGAGGTACTGACTGAGATATGGTAATTTTTCTAACTGATTAAAATTGAATTCATGAATTACATTGTCCACTACTCAGGGGTGTACCTAGAGCATTTGGCACCCAGGGCAGATCCTATTTTGGGCACTCTCTCCCCCATTTTAAAATGTAAAAAACAACAATAATGTTTTAAAATGCATTTAGCACTGAGCAGTGTTTGTGTGTTTGAATGTTAACATGTTTTTGTATAGAGTATATTTGAGTGAATGTAGGGGTGTGTTTGTATGTATTGTAAGTGTTTGAATGTAAGCATGCATTTGTATGTAGTGTGGTTTTTGAATGCAGTGGTGTGGTTTTATATAATGGTGGGGATTGTATGCAGTGTTGATGTTGAAATGCAGGGATGTATTTGTGTATAGTGTTGGCGAGATTTAGAGATTTATGCACATATACACACTGATACACATGCAGATACATATACACTCATGCAGATACATAGACACACAGATACACAGACACACACTGACACACATGCAGACACTGTGGCAACTCTAGGAACAATATATGAGGGGGGCACATAAGATACCACAGTCAAAACTGGGGGGGGGGGCACTTAAACGTTTATCTAGGGGATAGGGTACTATGCTGCCATTGTCTGTCTGATGCCAGCATGCTGTGCTGTGCATGCTGGTATCTGACAACAAATTTGCATAGAATTCACATTAGCCACCCAAATTTCTTGTTGTGGGCTGACTGACACCTCTTAACTTCAAGCAGTCAGTCTCACACCTATATGTATATCATTGAGCCCAGGGGGAGCCAACCTTTTAATACCTACCGCCCACTTTTGTATCTTTATCGATGGTGCAACGGTGCAGCAGTAACTAGATTTGTTAGCGCAACTGTGCCAAATAATTTAGAAAGGATGTTTTTAAAAAACAATATGTACTTAAATGTATCTTTAAATAAAGGTCCCTCTGCTGGAACTAAGACCCAGTGGGCCTGTGAGCGAGATCTTTGATCTTATCACCGGTCCGAAAGGGCTCACAGCAAGGCCTGTGCCGCAGAACCTACCACCTCCACCATGGAGCCTGAATCACCCAATAGTGGGCGGTAAGGACAACGTTGATGACCCCTGATTTAGCCAATATGTTTCCTCTGTTTTCTTCTGTTATATTAGACTTCTAAAGAACTTTATCTTGCATCTCGCTTGTTCTATTTCCCATTAGATTGTAAGCTCATGGATGGCTCTTGAAATACATTTTAAAAGACTATTTCTACTTGTCAAACCAAGATTTATTATGCACTTTATTTAATGTGTCTCTTGTGGGATTTGCTATAACAAAAACAACATGAACAATTATTAAAACTATTGTTACTGCTACCACTACCACTAACAAAAACTATAATAATGTATTAGCATTATGAAATCACTACCGTTTTAGAGAATTTACTATAATTCTGTCTAAAAATGATACAAGTGATATAACCAAAATTATTATTATATATAATAATAAAAATAACTGGCTTTAATATTGCCTGTATCCCAAAAATATCAAAAGGCAAAGATAATCTGTTTACATCTCTATCCATGCAGACAGAGATAAAAAATCCTCAGGATAGAAACAAGTTGCCTAATGTGTTTTGTGCGTGTTTGGTAACATTAACAGGTATTCCTTGTTTCATTTTAAATGGCAAAATGTAATCACAAATATCTATTTTATGTTATCTCTACAACTTAAAACACTCACTTTTGAAGTTTTAGATACAGAAAAGGAACGTTACAGCTGCTGTTGTTGAATGGTCGTATCTCTTTTTACAGTTGTTTCTTTTACACATTAAATTCCTGCCATACCCAAATTGACTCATGTACGAGATGTTAAGAGCTTTTTTGCCTCTTTTGGCATTTTCTTGATAGGACAGATTTTGATTAACTCCATTCATTGTGTAAGTATTCCTTGAATAATTTCTATGGGATAAAAACTATCAACAGAATATGGCCTGCTTTCTCCTTACCTATTGTGCTACAAGTTCAATTGAATACCTCAAAACACCTGCTAGTTCTAGAAGCCTCGGTTTGATAATTAAGACATTTGGACAGCCATTAGTCAGAGAAAATACTATGCAGATTTACAATGCACACGGAAGGTATATTTTGCATCAAAGAATGTTTGGAGACGTTCTCATTAAGGGAACTGTCATTGCTTTATCAAGCTCCTTACATTGGCTAGGAAGGTTCGTTCTGTGCTTTAATCTCCATCGATCCCCAGCTGTTTTAATTGAGCTAAGAATTAATATTTTCATTAAATGTACCCATTAAAATAGTCAAACATTTCTGAAGTTTTTTGCCGTTTGATAATAGCATTTAGATTTTTTAGCTTGTGGAAAAAAAAACATTATATAAAGTTGGACATTTTTAGTTTATTGGCTTGGGATTTTTAAATGGAAACTCTATGTCCAAAAATGCATTTTTAATAACTTTAATTATATGTTGCAAAAAAACAAAACAAAACTGCTACAACGTGCATAAATATTTCCTAAACCCCAACAACTTATTAGCTGGCATCTGAGACTAATGAGGATCCACACAAGTTGTAATTAAACAGGGGCAGGCAACTTCTTGAACTAAGTTTAAAGGGACATAAAGGGACATTCTGCACAGAGTGGACTGTGTTATTTTTTTTCCTCTAACCTATGCTTCTAGGAAGGTCAGAGGTCACAAACTAGAACTGATATAGGTGTTCTTAGGAGAGTTTTGAATTGCCTGAAGGCCAGGCAAGCATGAGTTTTGAAACTAAGCAACTCATCAATCCATGGTGGATCAACTCACTGACCTCCAACTTATCCCAGTTTATTGACCACTCCTTGCACTCCTACGCTCAATCGGCCCAATCTTACTTAAAAGATACCAAACATCTTCGGCAGGAGTTAGACTCCATAGAATGGCATGAAGATTATATGTGGGCATCTTTAGATGTAGGATCCCTGTATACTGTGATTGACCACCAACTGGGTATATAAGCCGTTAAAGACAATTTGGACAAAGACGTATCTTTGAATAAAAAATTTGCAGGGTTCCTATTTGAAGCGATTGAATTTATATTCACCCACAATTTCTTCATGTTCAATGATGAGTACTTCCTACAGATCAAGGGAAATGCCATGGGCACCAGGTTTGCCCCGAGTTATGCTAACATCTTTATGGATTTTTGGGAACGAAAGTCCATTTGGGAAAACAATCCATACGGGGCAAACCTGGTGCTCTGGCGTCGTTACATGGATGACATCCTTGTTATATGGAAGGGGTCTGAAGAACAACTATTAGACTTCTTCCGGTATCTTAATGATAACACCCTATCTTTAATTTTTACTCCAGTTTTTAGTTCCACCTCCATAGACTTTTTAGATCTGACGATTTTTTTCCAAGATTCCCAAATATTTACTAAAACATATTTCAAACCCACTGACACTAATAGTTTCATTGAATTAAAAAGTGGACACCATCCTAGATGGTTAGCAGGAGTCCCCAGAAGTCAATACACGCGACTCAGACGTAATTGTTCCAATAGAAACACTTATATAGAACAAGCCGAAGTTTTTACCCAAACATTTTTGGAGAAGGGATATAAAAGAGAATTATTAGATATTAAGGTTAAAA